TGTTTTCAGAATTGTGATTTGTTCTGCACTTCTCAGCCACCGTAGGTCCAGCTTCCCTGCACTAGATTCACAAAAACAACTGCTACAGAAATATGCACAATAAATTACTTAATAAATGAGCTTGTGGTGAAAATTATGGATTTCACTTAGTTTGTTAAAAAAATTTAAACAATTAATTAATGTACACATGTACACACAAAGTTACCCTTAAATAGGGATGATATTCCAATGAAAGTGCACGCAATGGGTTCATAATGCACAGGCTAACCATAAACAGAAATAAAGTTACAAAGTACTAGAGCACAGACCACATTAAGCAAAAAAGTGTACCTATGTAGATCTACTCTGTTTTTCCTGCTTCACAAATTGTCCCAACATTTGTTGAATTTCTGAATCGCTGGTAGACAATAGGCAACATGAAAGGAACAAAAATACATGATCTCTTATTTCAGCGCTCATTTCGTTCAGTGTTCTTAAGTAAATTTACGTTAATATTTTACTGAGTGAGAACCCACTCTGAACGATTCAGATTCATTTAAAATAACAGACTCAAACGAGTGATTCACTCATCATGCATCCGTTCAGATTAACAAATAACATTTTCTATCAGAATTGGCAAAGATCATGTGGTCAATCTCTCAGTCTGCTCAAATGTTGTATTTATTTATTTTGTGTACGTTCACACAATAAATCAGAGACACAGAGCATAATTTCCCTTTTTATTTATTTTGTAGCGACCAATTAAAGTATTTCTCTTACAACATTAAATTTATTACTTTGACTATATATGTTAAAAGAAAAGTAATTGCTTATTAAGAAAATTATTTGTATTTGAAAATATGCATTGGGTATTTTGCAAGTCCATTGATTCCATCATACCATAGGTGCACATGCTTTGGGGTGAATAAAACATATTTACACAATGTTTTCATTCTTTCTCAAGGCTGCAGAAACAAAGAATTATAATTGCAATTACATAGTTTTCACAAAATAACCTTAAAGAAACAAATGCCTCAATATGTGATACTGCCACATCAACTTT